GATATCTGGATATAATTGATTTAGAAGCTTATCAATCAGAAGGTAAAATTGTCTTTATTCCTAGAATAACGCTGATCGAACCTGAGATATACACTCTTTATCACATCTACCCTATCCCAATTTTGGATAATCGAACAGGTTCTCATCATATTTGACCAATAACTCAAAAATATATCGCGAAAGACGACGCGCGACGATTCTTCATTCTACATATTACTCCAAAGCCTGAATCACTGCAAACCTCTTCATAATAACACAAGGATATGTTCTGACGTTCTATAATATCCTATAGACAGTAATGCCATTTGCGAAGCCCAACTCCTGAAGTCAATAGGGACACTTCCCAAGACTTCTCAAGCCTCAATCTTACTCGCTAGTGACTACAATGTGCAAAAATCAGACACAAACTACTGGCCCATAACATTATCATCGTCCCTTCCAATCACTATCAGATGTGATGGCAAAAACAGTGTGACAGAAACAATCAACACCAACACAGTGCTCAAGCTCCAACCAACCTGCTCCTCTGTAGGAAACTCCAGAATTCATGCCAGGAATCTAGCAGAAAAATATAGAAACGTCACCTATAAAAGCCATCCAGTGGAAATTCCCTATAATTGCTGCAAACACCTGCCAGTGGATCTTCATGTGCCAGAGTTGAAACCTCTCAAACCATCTAAAATCAACATCGATGATCTAAACGTGGCACAGCATAGACTAAACGAATTCGATGAACTGGATAAACTAATCCAAGAACCATTCGTATCAAGACACAGCTAATGGTTCACCTCCTTTATCATCGTACTAATAGCAGCTCTTGTAATAATTTACATTTATTTGTTGTCAGTGTCGGCGAAAGGCGCCTTCCAAACCTAGCCCTATCGACGAGGACGAACCACAACCGCCGAAGTCTCATTTACGTCTTCAAATAGGCAACAACCTAGAAAGCTTTCACCGAAACGAAGAAACACCGTTCTTCCAAATCTACCCTCAGAACAAGAGATGACCAGTCTACACAACAACCCAGTTGGTTTTGAAAAAAATGTTGCAAAGCACCAACTTTTTACTTAATGGGGGAGCTGTTATATGGATTTCACGACTACATTGATCTCAAGACGCGTTTCATCACCACGGTGGTACAAAGTATCGCAAAGTCTAGACGCTAGAGTCCGCGTCAGCAGTAAAGAGTACGGTGACGACATGGAAAGCTGCGCGAAGCGGGTCGGATCTCTCTCCCTCGTCTATCTCTCGCTGTCTGCCGTGACCACGGTCGTGAGCTGAAATCAGCAGCGGGGTATCTTTTTAGACAAAACTTGAATAGAAAATAAACTAAATAAATATGCCTGCTGGCCGTACGACAATGAACCACGTGCTTGGCGTTCGGCAGCAGCACCGAACAATACGATAGTTCGGTTAGTCTTCAAAATTGGGTTTGTGCGCATTTGACGTCACCGTACTCTTTACTCTTGACGCGGACTCTACTTCACTTCAGCAAGTTATCCTGTGTGAACATGTCACGCCAAGAACTCTGGTCCATCGTCGCAACGCTCCCATAGAAACAGCAAGATCAACATGTTTTAAAATATAAAAGATCCTGTCTCTTTAGTTTAAGCGTCATTATTCGTCATTAATAATAATAATAAGGAGTATATCCATCATCATGGAAGTCTGCCGCAGTACAACCCATTCCAAAGAAAGGAAAAAAGACAGATCCGTTAAACTATAGACCAATTGCTCTACTTCCGGTGATATCAAAAGTAATGGAAAGAGTTGTGAACAATCACCTAACCAAGTACTTGGAAAAGTACAAAATTATCAACGATAAGCAATACGGATTTCGAAAATATAGGTCAACTGGCGATTTACTTACATACGTCACTCACTTATGGCAAAAAGCGATTGAGTTGCGGGGTGAAACAAGAACAATTGCCTTAGATATATCTAAAGCATTCGACAAAGTTTGGCATGAAAATCTGCTCAACAAGCTCAAAGCAATGGGATTATCGCCAAAACTTTGCACTTGGTTTGAAAGTTACCTAAAGGACAGATCCATTTATGTTGCACTGGATGGCCAGAACTCCAACTCTTACCAAATAAATGCTGGTGTGCCACAGGGAGCAATCCTTTCGCCAACTCTTTTTCTGATTTACATAAATGACCTCATAGATAAAACAGTAAATCCACTTTATTGCTTTGCAGACGATGGCAATGTAGTCTCCTCACTCATACCACCCACAGGTCTTTCCGCACGTGAATTCCATCATCTTAGACTAACTCAAATATCGCAGATAAATAACGACCTGGAGATAATAGAGGACTGGGGTAACAAAAACCTTGTACAGTTCAACGCGCAGAAAACCCAAGCAGCTCTGTTTTCAAAAAAGACCAGCACCGGTGCGCCAAACATCATGCTATCTGGAAGTGCTGTCACATTACAGAGTCAGTTGAACATCTTGGGGGTTACTGCAGAGACCAACATGTCTTGGCACAGTCACTAGGCAGATATTGCTAAAAGGGCCTCCCAAAAGCTGGGGGTGCTATTTCGTACAAGACATCTGTACACGCCAAGCCAATTGCTGACGCTCTACAAAGCCCAGATTCGACCAACTATGGAGTACTGCTCACATATATGGAGTGCAGCACCCAAACATACCTTAATGCTTTTGAATACCGTGCAAAAACGAGCTATCAAGCTGATCAATGATCCCGCACTTACTCGTAACTTGGATGGTCTCGAACATCGCAGATCTGTGGGCGATTTATCTCTCTTCTACAGGTACTATCACGGAAAATGCTCTGAAGAGTTGGCACGTATGATTCCACCGAGAGTAGCACCTACCAGGCGAACCCGTCAAACAGACGGTAACCATGAATTTACTGTCAAACTAGAGGCACCAAGAACCTCATTATATCAGAATTCATATCTCTGGAGAACAGCATCGCTGTGGAATAAACTCCCTGCGACGGTTTTCCCTGCAGGTTACAACCTGAACCGTTTCAAGACCAACACACACCGACATTTCCGCGCACTTGCCGCTTCTCGAGCGTGATAGGACATTTCCTTGCGAGTGCGCATATCCGTAAAAAAAAAAATATATATTTACACATTTCCAATTTCTATCATAAATATGGAATAAAAGGCTGCATCAGGTCGCCTCAAAAAGAGAGGCAGCTGCTATTAAGTATAGTTGAGTTAATGTCCATTTTTATTGTAACCTGTATTTTAATAATATAATGTTGATAATATATTTTTAATAATACGTTCATAGTACCTATAAGTACAACTCAATCCCACATATTCTGTCCTTTAGAAAATAAGTTGTGCCTGGCGGCTGGGCTCTTGGACTATTAAGTCTTATTATTTTCATCCGTAACGAAATGACAGCTTGTCAGAATCTCGTGTACAGCTCAGTAATAATAATAATAATAATAATAATAATAAAAAATCTCAATTTCAAGTATTTTTATTGAGGGAGAAAAGTATCGCTTTAAGTCCTACTGTAACAATAGTCTATTTCCAAGATTTTGACAAGCTGTCATTTCGTTACGGATGAAAATAATGAGATGAAATTATAGGGCCATAAAGAACCCCATAAAAAACTTTAAGAAAGATATGACAGGACCCCTATCCCCTATTCAAATTTGGGGGGTTGTTCTCCCCCTAGCTAGGGCGTTGAAACTACGGGGATGAACGAAACCGAAAAATAAATCGATGTCTCAGATCGTTTTTCCAGATTTTCATCCCGAATCCAATAAATCAAGGTGGACTGTTTTCCCTGGGACACCCTGTATAATTTCGAATTAAAAATGCCTTTTTTTGATGTTCACTTCATTTATTTTCCTGGAGATTCCTTGAATGTCTCATGTGTCAGGCAGTCACAGACAATGAACTATAACCAAAAGCTGGAATGCGAACACATAAGGACGAACGTGAAGCCTAGTGCAGCTGCTGCGGAGGGGATACCTGTTTTTGTCGCACTCATTATGTTAAATGGCGAAAATTGCTTCCAACACGTATTCCAATCGATGAAACCTGTGAAGGGAAATATGACAAAACTTTGGAAAACTTCATATGACAGCGAGCAACAGAAAAAAACAACATTCCCCCTTGTGGCATCTGTCTTTCATGGCTTCATTTTTTTGGCAGATATGGCAATGTGTGCGCATTCCAGTTTTTAGCTATAGTTCATTGGTCACAGATGTGGCAAAAGAGATTGAGATTGTCAAGATTTGTCTAAGAATAATTTTATAAATCTCGAATGCATTTCATTTACTGTATACCTCATAAATAAAAACAACAACGCCGATCAATGCAACAATTACTGCCGATTGACGGTACGTTCTTTAACTGCTTTGCAGACTCTTTTCTACTGGAAAAAGTTTAAGGCTCGATGCCAAACAATTACAGTCGTATTCCACATGACAATGATAGCGTGACGCAATCTGGAAACATTGTGTAGGTATCTAGTGGAACTGAAACCCCTTTTCATTTCAAAGTTGTTTGAACATTTTATAACCTCTCTAACTAGAATTAATTTCATGTTGATGAATTATATTATCATCTCTGTTGGATGCAAATTTTCCTAAGTAGGTAAATCCTTTCTAGGTCAGAATATAAAGTGAAAATTTCCAGATTATTTTTCTTAAATGTGTCAAATTTCACGGGAATTTCATATCCTTGAAGTAAAAACGGTCATAAATATGAAAAAAATAAATCTTCTTTTTACGCAGGAAAAAGAAAATTCTTGTGCCCATTTACTGGAAAGTATTTTCAGATAAGTTGGTTAGATGATTTTATTCCGCCAGAGGAAATGGTATGACCTATTTTATCCTTTTTTTTTCAGGAAAAAAATATCATTTTGATTTACATAAAAATAAGGATTTTTCTGGGACAAGGATTATTCGTTTACATTTACAATGTTTTTACATTTGGGTCAAACAGTTTGGCGTGATTATTGAACATAAAAAACATAATTCTACAGTGTAACAAAACTTCTTACCGTTGCGATATAAGGAACCTCAAGGCATTCTTAATACTACTTTCTATGTATTTTTCGGTGGTTTTATCCGACGGAATTATCGACTCCGTGATGGGAGTTGTGATTCTTGTTGATTCTGTTGTGTCTGGAAAAGAAAATCGTGCTACAATTATCTCAGTTCTCAGTTTCCTGGAAATTCCTATTAATAATTAAATGTCTTGCAAAGGGCTTTATACTCTGCCAAAAAGGAAATTATAATTAATCTGCTAGTAATATAGGTGAAGTGAAATTTCATCTATGTGCTTCTAAATAAACTTTGATTAAACTTGCAGGAATATCTTGTATGAGAACTTTGCGTATCTTTGTAAGGGGTTTAGATAATATTTGTTAATATTCATCAGTATTTGATATTGTTATAATAACTAAATGCTCCTAAATTTTCAAAACTGATGGAGCATCTAATTTTCAATTAGAGGCAATAATAGGCTTGTGTGATTTTCTGGTTATAACTCAAAGGTTTCACTTTTCGTCTATGCGGAGAATAGACATAAGTCATTGAAGGATCCATTTATCGCTTTTAAATATCGAAACCACACTGGGGGGCTTTATTTGAAATTGATACCACTTTGCGTACACGTAAATGACGTCATTCAAGATTGGAAATTGGCTTATTTGACATGCACTTTTTCAATCGCAACTGACGTCATCTGCTTCATGTTTGCGTGTACGCAAAGTTGCATCAATTTCAAATAAAGCCCCTCTGTTCAATGTTAAAGACTAACGATTTTGGGTACTGCAGCTGATGATATTTGGAACAATATTAGATACGCCATATATGTACCTAGTTTCTTCTTCAGAAAATCTAGCAACAATAATTTTTGAATTGTTAGCTTCACACCTTGTATCTACCTACTTACAGCAAAGTGAAATTTAAAACCTTTTTCCAATAATCACAAGTTTGTTATTTTACTCACACTAATCCTTCCCATTCAAAGAGTCTCTCGCGAAACCAATTAAGTTCGAAATGAGATTTCGAGCTTAGCCGAGCGCAGATTAAACAGTAATGTGGTTTTAGCAAAACGACAGTGTCGCGGTGCTGCTGACCCGATTTTCCAGCGACAATAATTCGAATTGCAGCAGCCAGAATAATAGTCTCAACAACAATAAATTTTCGCGATTTAATTTTATTTGCACCCTTAATGGCAATTAGGTACATACAAGAAAAGATAACTGGAGCGAGCGATAATGCGCCAAGTATCCCAAATTATTTCAGTAAGTTTGGTTTGTTGTATTTGGAGAGATTTGGCTGGTGCTAACAGATGGTTAAATGTCAAGAGTTATTAGAATAGAAATTACTGAAATGAGCTTCGGTTTCACAAACTCGAGTAATTTCTTGAGTTAACCCGAATCAAGATATAGCTATATAACTTGCTTCTTCTAACATGATCTTGTTCGTCCTCGTCAATGTTCCGACTTAATTTCTATGGAATAAGTACGTTTACATGGAGGCGAGCAAAAGCCTGCGTTCGTCCGCATTCATACTTTACATAACTTCATCATGATCTTCATGATTTCAGTATCTGAATATCTTTTTCTTATTGAAGTGCCTATCCTCTGAGGATGTTGGCTATCACATTGGTCCATATAACTTTGTTTACCGAAGTTCTGAACAAAGCTGTTGATGTCATTCCGGTCCATCCTCTTGAATTTTTCACGATATACGTCTGCGACCTACTGATCTTCGAGCCTCTATCTTTCCCTGTAAGATGAGCTGAAGTAGATAATATTTTTCGTTTTGCATGATATGCCCAAAGTAGGTATTCTAGTTTTCTGCGTTTGACGTTTGCTAGATACTCTCTACAGTTCTCCATCAATGCGTTGCAAGACTATTTCGTTTGACAAATGGTGCACCCACGAGATCCCGAACATGCGGCGATAGCACCATATCTCAAATGCATCTATTCGTTTGCATGCAAGTGTCCATGCTTCTGCTCCACACGGTCGAGTGGACATAGCATCTTGATTCCCTGATTTTAGTACGGATGCTAAAAGATATATTGCACAGCACATTTCGCATCTTACTGAATGCCCTCTTGCTTTTTCAATTCAGCTCCTTATTTCCCAGTCCTTATTAAGATTGTAGCACAGGTATGTAACTGACTCGGCCATCAGGCTGCCGACATCGTTTTTACTGATGATCAACGTTTGCGTTTTGTTGCAGTTTATCTACATATCATATCTGTGGCATACAGCCACTACGCAATCTGTGAGTCTCTAGAGTCCCTTAGCAGTATCAACTATGAGGACGGTATCGTCTCCATATCTCAAATTATTAATTATTTCTCCATTTGTTGTAAGTCTATCTTTTACGTTGTCCTATGCCTCTTCAAATAGGTGTTCTGAGTATACATTGAATAAGAGAGGCGACAGTATACAACTCTGACGAACTCCTCTTTTTACGCTGAACTCGCCTGTTTCGTTCGTTTTAGATTCGTACCATGGCCCATTGAAGTTAACTATGTTGAACTTTGTCGAAGGCCTTTTTGAAATCTATAAAGTATGCGAGAACGTCTTGTAACAGGCCAAAATTGTACAACTAATTCTTACCTACTTTCAGTTTTCTATTCAAAATTTCCTTAAGGACCCCGCAATATTTAAATGGAAATTGGTTATCCGTGATATTTGGATGAAATTTAAATATGTTATTGGGGATGCCGTAAGCAACATTTTTTACCATGGGCACAACCCTGTATACAGGGTGTCCCACGACGTTTCTCCCAGGTGATAACTTCGGAACGCGTCATCCAATATAATTGAAATTTTGAGGATCTGGGTAACTTATTGTGCCGCTTCTACCATTGTCATCCAATTTTACCATTTTTGCTTCAAGTTCGGTCTAGTGACGTCAACTTTCGAATCTTAAATGTAACTCATGGTATATTATGGTATTTTTCGTTAGAAAATTAAATTACAAAATCGGCTATGCCATATTTGTTAAGGCTTTGTTAAAGGATATGACAGAAAATTATACAGTGGATCATACGATGATGCGTTCCGAAATGATCATTTGGGAGGAACCTCGTGGGACACCCTGTATATGACAGGTGGGGCGTGGTTAGCTGTCAAATATTGGAATCTTATATCCAAAAGCAGATTAACTATGGCAGATTTTGATGAACAAAAAATCTATTTCTACTAAGTCGAAAAATGTCAACCATTTTAACATCTGTCAAAACCCTGCCAAACGGCAGCACTCACTTTTCCAGTTTTCAATATTTTATGTTGTCATTTGACATTTTTAACTTATATGTAAATTCTGAATTCAAAAATTGGAAAAAAAATGACATAACTGTCAAAATATGTCATTTGTTTTAATAGAAAAAAATACTCCAATCTGGTCCTTTCTCGTTTTAAGGTAGTTTATTGGCGATAAAACATCAAACAAAGTTCATCAATCAAGATTTTCGAATTTCAATTTTTGAATTCAGAATTTACGTACCTATGTTGAAAATGTCAGATGACAACATAAAATATTGAAAACTGGAAAAGATGAGTGCTGCCGTTTGGCAGGGTTTTGACAGGTGTTAAAATAGATGACTTTTTCGACTTAACTTGGTCGACTTAGTAGGCATAGATTTTTTGTTCATCAAAATCTGCCATAGTTACTGTGCCTTTGGATATAAGATTCCAATATTTGACAGCTAACCACGCCTCACCTGTCATATATACAGGGTTGTGCCAATGGTAAAAAATGTTGCTTACGGCATCCCCAATAACATATTTAAATTTTATCCAAATATCACGGGTAACCAATTTCCATTTAAATATTGCGGGGTCCTTTGTCAACATTTTCTCTCTATTCGCCCTGAGCATGACTAGTCCCGCCGTTTGGCGGATACAAATAAAGATAGCGGGACGTAAAGTTGTCATTTCTGAATTTAAATTATTTTTGTCTATGATTTTTGTGTTGTCAAAAATTTCGGTAAGTGCATTTTGTCAAATTTTCATAGCGTTTTCTGTTGGTAAAACTCGTGCTGTCCGAGTTCTGCACTCAACACTGAATCAATTCACGTTTAGTGCAATCCCAAAACTGGATTCGAAGCAATAAAATGCAACATTGAATTTCCTCCTGAAGCGATGCCGAAGGGCAAAAAACCGGTGGAAGCTAACCATGTGTTTGCTGTTGAGGAAAAGCGCAAAAGTGGAAGCAGTAAATTCATAATAGCCCAAGTGATCAGACAAACGTCAATAAGTTCTACGCCATATAAAGTGCGATTAAATGTATGTCCCCATTAGAAGTTCAAATTACATTTATATATTTTTTCCATACGACTAAAAAATACGTTTTGCAAATTGATAGTAGTCGGGAAATAACTGGTGTATCGTGCACGTGCGTGTACAATAAGAGTAGCAAGTGTAAACACTGCTGCTCTTATTCAATCAATCACGCAACAATAATCACGGCCCATTTTATTTTGTTCAAAATGATCCTATGCTTGCAATTTACCTCCCAAGTTTCACTATTTCTCCGCCTCGCGCGCTGACAATCATTTTAAAATCCCCTCCCCTCGGACGCTCAGAGCGAATCTCAACGGTTGTGGATCCTTCAAATTTCCTAATTTTCAATAGTCAAATTCTATTTGCTGTAATGATTTTTCCTCGTTTTTAATCCATATTTTAATTCAATTTCAAAATTCAAACAAATCAATATTTTGATTCAAACTTTTCATAAACAAATAAATATCCATTTGTCAAAAATATTTCGTGGGGTTATGTTCCGAAATCATAATGACTCGTTTTCAAGTGTATGTACAGAACTACTCCGTCCGTACTTACTCTGTTCGGTTATTGAGTTATTGATCTCGGTACAAGTTCTAGTGAAGCCAGACCGATCATTGGTTCGATGGTGTTTGTGATGTTTTTTTGCGCTATCCTTGCTTTCGGTTTTTTGACTTTTCAGTGTCAATAATTTCTGTCAACCGGCTGTCGATTAGTAATGTTTTTAGTATCGTCGATTCATTTTTAAGCCCTCTAATTTCGCAAACAGATCACTCTGTGTTGTGTTCTTAAAGTTATGATTGTTTTATGGGATAATTATTTGTTGTTAATATCATTATTCGTCAGCTGTTTCATTTTTCTCGAATT